GCATCGATCAATATGTCGCGGGTCTGATGTTCTCGAGGGGAAGTTTTGAAATGATCTGGTCGGTTCTTCTCCGGCGTAGAACGTCGATTTTGTTGTTTCGTAGCAACTAAACTCGCAAACCATGCTCTTTCAATGGAAATGGAAAAACAGAACATTTTATTTCCCAGAGGTATCTGCGTACGCTGTTTGTCGTTCGCAGATGCGTTTTCTTCTCTTTGTCTCGGGGAAAAAAGTCTGTGTTTTTCTTCTCGTTTCTTTTTCGACTGGCGTGTATTTAAGGATGGAAATGAAGGACCGGAGGCATTAACATAATGCTCTGGAACATTAATACGGTATCGAAGCCTCTGTTTAGACCGTCGATTCTTTATAGAATTTCTCGACCTAGAAATTGTTATTTCTTACAGAAATTATGGTTAACCCCTTCCCGTGCTTTGACGAGTCTCACTCGTGACGCACTCACAACTCAAATGTGACTAATATTACTCAAATTTTAAATACTCCAACTTGAATTTTAGATCCAACCATAATTTGCGTTGTCAAGGATCCCTGAATATAAAATACTTAGAACATTTTAATTTTCTTTGTTCGTTTTAATGTTATAGTCCTGAATGGTTAGTCTTGACTGACGCACCTCATAAATAAATGGCAAACAAATGGCATAAATAAATCACTAACTGTTAGTAATCAATTGTGTCGGAGTTACACGTCAATTTTTTAACGTAACTATGAAATCGAATAATGATCGGGTCACAGTACAGTGCTCATAAATTTCCATGATAATTTCCGTTTCCGGAGAAAATGCGCGATAACTGTCTACACGATTTTAACGACCGAGGCTTTACAACAGAAATTCAAGGTATTTGCAAGAATTTTTATTCCCTTCGTAAACAAACACCTTCACGAAGTAAGAACTGCTCAAGAAGTAGCGAAAGCTTCGAAACGCAAAGCAACTGGTAGAAGAATATTCAAATCGCATTGTGTTCGAATTAACGGGGTTGAATGTCGCGAATCTAGCGAATAACTGGAATCGAAAGAAAAAGAGTTGTTAATTAGCCCCAAGTTCCCTCGGCTTTCCGTCGGTTCACAAAGTTGCTTCAACGGGGCTCGAAGTTGCGAGTGAAAGTGAAACGACGCTTAATTACATTATAACGAGCTACGCGGCACGGATTCTTCTGTTTTGTCTTCCAGTTATTTCCAGCCTCGATAGAACACTATCGGTTTTAATCGTGATTCGAGCTTACACGGTCATTGCGACGGAATTTCGTGGCAATGTTTCTTCATTAAAAACGGGATTCTTTTACACTTCTTATTGGCTGACTAATCGCTAATCGCTGATTACACGCTGGGACTGTAATGAGTCATCGTTAATTGCTCCATGTGTGACTACTCGAAAGTAATCTCTTTAGATTATAATTAAAGTCTTTTTACCATCTTCTTAAATCTTCAGATTTATACAAAGTATGAAATTTGATATTTCAAAATTTAACTATTAGGTATTTACCGTCAATTTGTACACGATTAATTACTAGGTAAGAGTGGGGGAATAGTTTGCGTGGAAGCCTGAAGATGGCACATAATGCACCGTGTGTTATAATCCACCCTCGAAAAATAAAAGTGCTTAAGAATTAGTTGTACGGTTTCCAAAGATTTAGGATTTATTTTAGCAGTGACGTATTTATAGCACCGTCTAGGCATCACGCGATAATAATACCTTATTCCATTTGCATAATAATCGGCTCTCACTTGTCCCATAATAAATTCATAAATCATGCTACTTGGCTGGTTGTACCGGCGAATGAAAGTAGGATTCGTTTCTCGTCGATTACGCAACGATTATCCGATCTCGTAAAAACGTTAAGATTAATATAAAAGAAAAGCTGGACAAGAAAAAGTACTATTAACATTGTATTTTGTAGCGTTTCGTGGTTTGCCTCAATACTGCAAAATAGTTTTAATCCTCGATCGCAAGACTTATCTTTGATCTCAAACCCTTTAAATTGCTTGTAACGAGCGGGAAATTTAAATCGAGCAAATCTCTAATAATGTGGAATGTATTTGTGATAAATTTTCTCTACAAAATATTTATTAGAAGTAAATTACTGCTGAATGTGTAGGTTTAAACTATTCTTTTCGACCGCCATACTTCTACGCTACGCGCATGCGCACGATTCTTTTGATTTGGACATTTAAATTAGTCTCCTGTCTCTCTCTAGGAGGTATCTTGTCTAGTGTCGTCTCTTATATCCACTCTTTTAACTGTGCAATAAGAAAATTAAGTAGAGATATTGTATCTAGGGATATGTACCGAAATAGAGGGAAGAAATTCTAGGGTCGACATGGGTGGATCTCCGAAAGTTATATGATGGTTGCCATGGATTCTAGTACCGTTTCGGTGGTTGATTGATGGTGGTCCTAATGACTCCTCTTGCAAATCGCCGTAGAAATTCTACGTCCCGAGACCCGCCAGGGAAAAGCAATATACAGTATTGTCACTGCCAGCCGGACGCAACTTGTGTGTTACATGGCTCTATTCTATATATCGGGTGTTCAAAATGAACAATTTAAAAAAATTTCAACAGACTTACTTCTTTCGGAATATCAAAAAATTTGATAAAATTCTAACAACTCTTTTGCAACTTGCAACTTTGTGAACTGGTCAAAAACAGTTAACTGTAGTTAATTACATTGTGACTACTTTGATTACATTGTCTACCAAAAATGGTAAAATTGAAATTTTAGGGAATTTCACAAAGTTGTAAAGTTTGTAAAGTTTCTAAACTTTGTAAAGTTTCAAATCTTTCGGTGCACAAATGTTCCTCCATTAATATATACAGTGTTCAGAAAAGAATTCTCCGGTATTTTTAGAGGGATTCCAGGAATTTCAACCGGAGGCTCCGTAAAGAAGCGTTATTTTGATTAGTCACCGTATAGTCCTTTCCATTATACCGGGTGTCCAATGTTCTCTAACATTTATTGAAGCATTGAAATCTGGAAGCAATATTCCCGGTTTTAAATTAACCGTTGCATCGTGAAAAAGATCGTGCTCGTATTATATTTAAACAGCTCCGATTCAACGTTGGCCTGATTCGATTTAGCTCCTATAAATACTATTTCTTTGGCGCCCCATCGTTGCCTACATCCCTGGCTCCGATTGTTAACGAAAAACAAATGAAATTCTGCTTTCTGACTCGAAAGACTTCGAGGATTAACGAAACCATGAATTTTTATGGCGTGTAAAACAGCCCGGGCTTGCGGTTTCCATCCCGTCAATTGTCGACGTGGCAAATGGATGAAATAAATTTCGTGACCGCGGCAAATATACGGGCTAGAAACGTACGTATTCGAGCCAAGGCTATGCTGGAACGTTTTAACGCCTTAGGCGCGGCGAATATACACGGTGTCCCGTGAAATCCCATGGACCCCATATTCCGAAGGTGACTCACGCTCGCCGACATTTTACTCCTGTGAAAATTGAAAGGCATTATTAATCCTTTTCTAAGTACACGTATTCTAGGTTATACAACGAATGGTGATATAACGCGTGCTTCAATTTCTGTTACTTATCTGTTACACGAAGCAATTTGCGTTTAATTGGATCTCGATCGGTTCTCAAGAAATTGAGAGATATTATTCATGCACAGTTGTTAAAACTTTTGTCCGTAGAGTTTACTGCCATTACAGATCCCCGTCGCTTATACCGCAGCTGAGAAAGCAGGAAAAACTACCGGGAAAATTGAAAATAATCTGTTGGAAGGATAACAGTTTCAGAAGGCAAATTTTCAAATTATTTTATAGCCATTTATTTGAGAATTGTTTTAAAATTGGCCACGAATTAAAGGGAAAATTAAATGTTCCGCAAAATATCGAGCAAAGGTTTGCTCAAAGTAGATATTTTTCAAAAATAACAGCGAGATAAATGCGGAGCTATATTGGCCGGGTAATTGAAGGAGCGATGTGAAGTAATTTTCCGGCCGAAAATTGAAGGGTTCTCGTGAAAGCCCGACAGTTTACGTCGATACGAGGTGTTTCTCGAAATATTTCGATAGCTCGATACTATCAGGTATAGGTCAGCGAGAATCAGCTGCTAATTTCGGCATCGAAATTTACGGAGACTCGAAAATTAAGTTGACGCGATTTTCTTCTTTTTTGAAGTCGACGTGGCTCGAATTTAAATTCCTTTTACACATCTTCTGTTTAATATATTCAGGGATATTAAAAGGGGACAAAATGGTGATCAAGTTTTATGTGTGACCTTTGCAAACTTTGATCACCTTATAAATTGTGTAATTTTGCAGTGATATAATTTTACAGTGATACAATTTTGCAGTGATATAATTTTACAATGATATAATTTTACAGTGATGCAATTTTACAGTGATGCAATTTTACAGTGATACAATTTTACAGTGATATAATTTTACAGTGATACAATTTTACAGCGGTACAATTTTCCAAAGATACAATTTTGCAATGACATCATTTTGCAATGATTCAATTTTACAGTGATACAATTTTGCAATGATACAGTTTTACAGTGATACAATTTTACAGTGATACAATTTTGTAATGATATAATTTTACAGTGATAACATCTTGCAATGATACAATTTTACAGTGATACAATTTTGCAGTGATGCAATTTTACAATGATATAATTTTACAGTGATACAATTTTGCAGTGATGCAATTTTACAATGATATAATTTTACAGTAATAACATTTTGCAATGATAGTATTTTGCAATGACATAATTTTGCAATGATGCAATTTTGCAGTGATACAATTTTACAGTGATACAATTTTACAGTGATACAGTTTTACAGTGATACAATTTTACAGTGATACAATTTTATAATGATGTAGTTTTACAATGATGCAATTTTACAATGATACAAATATACAATAATACAATTTTATAATGATATAGTTTTACAATGATACAACTTTACAATGATACAATTTTGCAATGATACAATTTTACAAATGACCTTTTACAAAAATAAAAATTGCACCAAAGTTACATTTGTTACAAATGGCTTTCTGTAATCAGAATATCAAACCTTTACACAATTTTGAATTATTTAAGCATACATGCGATGCTTTCATATCACGAAATCACATCAAACATGTTCCAAAATCGCTCACCATAATTGTCAATCAGTTATTTCGTATAAACTGTATTAATCTACTGTCATTTTCGTAGAACCTCTAAATTCATAAACCTTAAGTTTCATGTACCGAAATCGCCCATTACAATTATCCATCAGCTATTCTGTATAAAGTATATTAACAATCATGTTAGAACCAGTCATGGTAGAAGGCTCTACCAATCACGCGTTTCCAGATCTTTTCATTAAAGAAACTTGTCCAACGCAGAATCCCAGTAAGTTTTTAAAGAAAGAGGGTTGAAAAGGTGGATGGCTGCAGGGTAACAAAATGGCATACTTTTCGCGTGTAAAGCTCGAGCAGAGAAACCTCGAAGGAAATAAAACTCGTTCGTTGAACCCCAAGCGTTGCACGAGGTTGCTCTAACAGATTTCAATTTAACGATCCATGGCGACGCTTACGTGGCTATCTACTTTGTACCTCGTCTCTGCGATACCTCTGTGTACCGTTCTGCTTCGCAGTTGGTGTCGTTCTCACAGACATCCACGATAACACCCTCTTTGTTCTGTCTGGACAGCAGCCGTTTATGCCCTCGGATATAACCGGTAGCTGCACGAAACCTGTGCTTTGCCACCGCTGTACGGGACAAATGTGGCTGGAACATGGAGGTATATTATGGTTAAAAAACGAAGAGAGAGGTGACAGCTGTTCGATTGTCGGAATACTTTGACTTTCATAATTTGGATAAGTGCTACTTCGTGCCGCTAAGTTCCCCTTTTCTCCCGTATTACGCGTCCATTTGGAACTTACCGATAGAAGCTCTTCAATATGGGCTATCTCGAATACCCGCTGGGTTTCTTTTAATGCTTTTACCCCGGGGATTGTGTAATCGATTCTCAAGTAATTTATCACAAGTTTTGTCCCTCAACGGTCTTTCGAATCTCTGGTAGAGTATCTCAAACTGTATCATTTCCTTATCAAACGTGTTCTCATAATGGATTAGCATGTTACGTCATTCCGTGAACAACCGTTGCGTGCTAATGTCCGAAAGTAGAGTAAAATTGATTTCGCCGTTCAATTCCGTACAAATAGCACGGTGCAGAAACATTGGACTTGTTTAAAGATTCCGTATACTTTCTGAGAATTTACGTTTGCGATACGTCAAAGGAATTGCAAATTTTTATGAATATCTCTTGCGTAGATCGAGCTTTTTGTGTATTACGTAAAGGCGTTAATAAACATTATCATGTTTAAACAATTCGGGATGTATTTCAGAATATTTCGTATAAAAAGTTTGAACTCATCGCTCTTTTTATTGAAAGAGTAAAAAGCTCAGAAAAATTTGCAACTTATGAAAAAGCTTCTTCGCGCTCTCTAATCAAACACGACTCTTCCCCAGAATTCCGGAAGAAATTTCCAATATTCCCGGAGTATAAATCTCGAATACTCAAAAAAACGTATCTCCCTAAAAATTACAGCCTGGAGCTTCATCCACATAAAATCGTAGCTCGTGAAACGACTCATTCTCTACGATGCCACGAACCGAGAAAAAAAACAGAATAATAAACCAATGCCTGCAAAAATAATCCCAGAGACAGCAGTGAAGCATGCTCGACCAAAAAGAGCCACGTACGATAGCGTATGGTGAAACGAGGGAAAAAAGATGAGCTCCATGCTTGTAACGAGCCTGGAAGATCCGTGGGTTCTTCCGCTTCTTCTTTTTTCCTTTTGCCATCGGTGTACTGGCATTCATCTGTCTGTTGCCAGACACGGCCAAATTTCTGTCAGCTATCGAGAACAGGAAAATATTAATGGATACACATCGTCAGGCTGTCGTTCATTGTCCGCCCCTCACGAATCGATACAGGCCTGCTCGAGATATATCAGGTGATCCCGTAAGTTACATCTTGTTCCACTTGGATCACTTACTGTATACTGTAATCGTTGATCAGTAACACATTTTAATTAAACCGTGAACTACTTGATGACTTGGAAATCAATATTAGTATCCAGCAATTTTCTACATTTTTAATTTTTAGTAAGTTTCATTGAATGTTTGATAAGTTATAAAAATAAGCTTTGTTAACTTGAATGCTTGAAGTTCCCTTTTACCTAGTTTGCACCGATATACCAAATATTCTGGTTAGAATATTTTCTGTAATCTTGGAATCCGAACACAGGAATCTCCCTTTTTTATTTTGCTTTCAATTTATTTCCAACGAGTCTGGCGTGACTCCGCACTTCAGTGATTTCCTAGTCTCCGTTCTTCAAAAGAACGCGAACTTAATCAAGGAACAGAAAGACAGAAAAATATTCATCGACTTGGTTCCACGGAAACACGACCGGTTTTTTGCTTTCCACATTTATTTTTTACCCGGTTCCCCGACCGAGGCAGGCAGTCACGAAATCACAATCCTGGACACAATGACTTCGCTTGTATTGTTGCTTTACGTGTTTCATCGCTGGCTTCGTAGTCTGCGAGGCAATTATGATAATAGTACTTTCATTACGAAAGGTCTTCATTATTTTACCGCGATTCGATCTACCTGGATCGATATCATTTCCCTTCTTACATTTCATTAAACGAATATTATATCGCTCTAGCGTTCTGCGATGTAATAGAGAATAATTTTCAGAAGTTTGATATTTTTTACTCTCGTAATCGCGATATTAAAGAAAAACAAAGCATTAAAACTTTCCGTCGATTCGTGACCCGCCGATTTAACCCGTCTTTCTTTTTATCGAAACTCGTTTATTTCAAGCACAGTTTCTTCGAATTATTTTTTCATGTAAAAGCGACGAAAGGTACGGAAAGGTCGAGTTTTCTTCGGGGTAAAAGTTCAGATTACTTTCTGAATGCAACATTAAATTTTCAAACGAAATAAACGCGCAACTTTTACGGAAGAAAATTATTAATAATTTAAGATCCCTTTATATTTTCACAGTGATGTTCTTCAATTTTTCATCTCTTAAATCCTTCGTTACTAAAATTCAAGTATTAAGATTCATTTAATTTGGGATCGAGTTTTAATAAGAAACGAATGATCTTTTTCAGAGGTCTCCCGTGTGGCGTGCAACCCCCGGAACCGGTGCCGGATCCCGATGGCGACAAATTGGCCACGATCGCAGCCCGTTTCAGCTATTTCCAAGAGAGAAAGAGTTCGCTCGCCTCTGCGAAAGTTGATCTTCGTAGGAACATCAATCCACCGGCCAGGTACAAGAATGCACGACCAACGGTCAGGCTCAGGCCACGGCAGGTGTTGTGCAGTAAGTGCAGGTCGATCTGCAACGAGAACAGCGAGAACGTGGATGTCAGTAGAAAACGGAAACACGAGGAAGCGCAGTCGGAACAGCAGCAGAATTCGCAGCAGCCCCAGGTATCTCTTTCGTTCGTTGCTCTTCTTCCGCGTCGAAGAAAACATTCAACGTTTCGATTCGATTAGGTCACGGGTCATGGATCCACCAGGAGGAGCGATCGACGTTGCGGTCAACAGCCTCAGAAAACCTCGAGAGTGTTGTTCTCTCAGTGTCAGTCTGAAAACATCAAGTCCTCGTCGTCCACCGAGCTGAGCCCCGATTCGTCGAAGCTTGGACCGTCTCTCATACCGAAGATCTCGAGACTACAGCCGAACGAGATCAACAACGCCATGCAGGGAACTGGTTAGTTCTCTCTCGTAGGAGCAAACGTCTTCTGTGAATCTATTAAATTTAAATAACCTTCGAAAACGGTAAAGCTCCCATTTGTCTTCTGTTTCGGTAATATAGAAAAAGTGAAGTTCCCTTCTTACATTTCATTAAACGAATATTATATCGCTCTAGCGTTCTGCGATGTAATAGAGAATAATTTTCAGAAGTTTGATATTTTTTACTCTCGTAATCGCGATATTAAAGAAAAACAAAGCATTAAAACTTTCCGTCGATTCGTGACCCGCCGATTTAACCCGTCTTTCTTTTTATCGAAACTCGTTTATTTCAAGCACAGTTTCTTCGAATTATTTTTTCATGTAAAAGCGACGAAAGGTACGGAAAGGTCGAGTTTTCTTCGGGGTAAAAGTTCAGATTACTTTCTGAATGCAACATTAAATTTTCAAACGAAATAAACGCGCAACTTTTACGGAAGAAAATTATTAATAATTTAAGATCCCTTTATATTTTCACAGTGATGTTCTTCAATTTTTCATCTCTTAAATCCTTCGTTACTAAAATTCAAGTATTAAGATTCATTTAATTTGGGATCGAGTTTTAATAAGAAACGAATGATCTTTTTCAGAGGTCTCCCGTGTGGCGTGCAACCCCCGGAACCGGTGCCGGATCCCGATGGCGACAAATTGGCCACGATCGCAGCCCGTTTCAGCTATTTCCAAGAGAGAAAGAGTTCGCTCGCCTCTGCGAAAGTTGATCTTCGTAGGAACATCAATCCACCGGCCAGGTACAAGAATGCACGACCAACGGTCAGGCTCAGGCCACGGCAGGTGTTGTGCAGTAAGTGCAGGTCGATCTGCAACGAGAACAGCGAGAACGTGGATGTCAGTAGAAAACGGAAACACGAGGAAGCGCAGTCGGAACAGCAGCAGAATTCGCAGCAGCCCCAGGTATCTCTTTCGTTCGTTGCTCTTCTTCCGCGTCGAAGAAAACATTCAACGTTTCGATTCGATTAGGTCACGGGTCATGGATCCACCAGGAGGAGCGATCGACGTTGCGGTCAACAGCCTCAGAAAACCTCGAGAGTGTTGTTCTCTCAGTGTCAGTCTGAAAACATCAAGTCCTCGTCGTCCACCGAGCTGAGCCCCGATTCGTCGAAGCTTGGACCGTCTCTCATACCGAAGATCTCGAGACTACAGCCGAACGAGATCAACAACGCCATGCAGGGAACTGGTTAGTTCTCTCTCGTAGGAGCAAACGTCTTCTGTGAATCTATTAAATTTAAATAACCTTCGAAAACGGTAAAGCTCCCATTTGTCTTCTGTTTCGGTAATATAGAAAAAGTGAAGCTCGGTCAATCGTACTGGAACAACCGAGCCGACGAGGGAGATTCGGCGGCTAACGCGATCGAGCCAACGGAGGAGCGCATGGAGTCAACGGACTGCGATAGTAATCCGTCAATGGCGTACTGTGCCACGCCCAGAAGACTTAGTAGTTCGTCGGTAGAAAGTGCAAAGGTACCCGAGGAAGAGGAGAAGAAGACGTTCGCGGCAGCGGATTCGACAATGAGGCCAAGAGCCGGTCGAGTACCTAGGAAGAAACGATCCGTTGGATCGATGGAGGATCTGTGGGACGAGACCGTGTTCGAGGACCCGACGAGAACGGCCAGAACCACGCCGGTGATTAAGATCTCCTTTGGTGCTCAGGGCGAAGGTACTGTACTGAAGATACCCTCGAAGATACAAGATCCAGAGTACGAACAGGAAACCGACGATGCCGAGGACGTACAAACGGAGACGGAGAGAGATCCACTGGAATTACCGAGGACTTTCGACAACGATTATACTTATCGCGAGGACGCCGAGGAGGATGGACAAGAACAGGTGGATCCTCAGAAACAAGGTGTGAAGGATGCCAGTGCTAAAGCGGCGAAGCGAGCGTTGAAAAAGGCAAAGAAGGAAGCCAGAAGAAAGATGCTCGGTGGTGTCTCTCCAGCGAGATCCCCTTGTAACGGATCTCCACGGTAAATCGCCACTCCTTTCCTCTAATAATTCATCAAAATTTTCTCGATCATAATTTTCTGATTATTCATTATTGCAGGTATAATCCCACGTACGACTCCTTATCGTATCACCGTCGCAAGCATAAAGTGAAGCATAAAAAAAAGCACAAGGAAGACCGGAAACATAAGAACCAGCAGCATCAGCAGCCCTGTCTGGAGTCCGGCAGCACCGAGAATCAGCAAAACTGGAATGTACTGCCGGGTAGCGAATCGTACACAGCCATAAAGGAGCAGTGCCTCAAGCAAAAATTATCCATATCTCTAAAGAGATTGAACACAAACGCTTATGCCAGATGTGATTACCCTGTGAGCAATGCCTCTTCCGGTTGTAAGAGTCCTGGTGCCAGCAGCGACGAATTGAGCGAACAAGAACCCGAGGTGGACGCTGGTGAAACTGCACCTGACTTTCCACCGCAGTCGCATCCTCTGATGATGCGCCTAGCCGCGACACCTGTCGAACATTGTCTCACCGCTAATGGCAGAAGAATGGACGTTGGTGATGTTGTGTGGGGGAAGATTCATGGGTTCCCTTGGTGGCCTGGAAAAGTACGCATAACAGTTATGCTGCTACATTAAGCTTTGTCGTACGAATGCAATCTTTAACGTTGTTTTAGGTTCTTAGCATCACAGTTTCTTGTAAAGAAGACGGCACATCTTCTGGGCCACAGGCTCACGTTGCCTGGTACGGGTCTTCGACAAGTTCTCTGATGTCGTGTGATCAGTTGAGTCCATTTTTGGAAACGTTCAAGGTAAGTTTAGCTATCTTCATCTTACTCTTTTCCCTTTAGGTATAACGAAATCACCATTCTTCTATAACGACGAAGATGACGATTTATTTGGTTTTCTGTTGAAGACACGGTACAATAAGAAGAAACGAGGGCCGTACAAGGAGGCGATACGACAGGCACAGAACGAAGCTCGAAATCAGATCACGCCAAACTCGACGAGCAGCGTGTTAAACGTTTGTGGCTCACCGCGCGAGGTCAACGTTCTTTCCTAAGGGAAGGTGCACGCCACTCGACACCATTCCTTACTGCCGAGTATCCGTCGGTCGAGATAATTCAAGCGACGGATCGAAATCGTCATGTAATATATTACAAATTTTGTACATAATGACTAGCATTAATGAAATAGCTTTTTGATCGATGTTCCGATCAACGGTCACGCCTGCCGTCGTTCGCGACGATTCATGGTGAACAGACTCCGAATGAAGTTTACTGCCATCACTGGCAATGTCCTTTCTTTCATTTTCTTTTTTTATTCTTAGCTTTTTTTCGAGCGAACATTTAGCAGATAAGAAGTATCTAGATAGGGTGTAACGTAGAGATAATAACGTCGTCTCTCGAGAATAATTTCGTACTAAAATGAAAAAAAAAGTATGCGACTTCTACGATAGGTACACACATACACATACATACACACACACAGACACGGGTGTCGTCGTGTTTCATTAGTTAGCGATACTCGTTACTTAAATTCTTTCTTGTATACGTATATGTATGTATACATATATATGTATATTTGTATTAACGATTTCATTGTGATCATTATCGGAAAAATCGTACGTACTATGATCCAGTGTGGGCAGTGAATCTTCGATACAGTCCGTAGACGTTGCTGAATAGAACACGATCGATGAATTACTCGATCTGTCGTGGTATCATGACGGAATCAAGAACGTGGACAATACCTTTGACAAAGTGAAGTTACCCACGATACTTTAACTACTTCTTTGCACGAAGAATTGCTAAATACCAGTGAGGTTTTTATCGAAAGAATGGAACTGTAAGTTTTAAATCGTAGAGCGAGTACTTTTAAGCAACCTAGTATAAATGATTGATTCTAGCCATTGGAACGAAAGGTTTTCTTTTAATAGAAGAGTAGATCCTCTTTACTATTTTTTAATTACCGAGTACGCGAAAGCATTAGAGCATACTTGAATACGAGATTTTATCTGATTTTACATAGAATACAAAGAAAATATTTTTAATTCAATACTTCCATGTAAAAAGGTAGTTCGTTCCAATTGCAAGAACCATCTTACGTAGTCGAAATCAATGCAACTTCCTAAAAACGAAATAATTATTAAATTAAATCTACTTCAGATTTCGTTTTTCGTGCTTTAGCAGAACAGATTACGAATAGAACACTTCGCGAATGTTTTGTACTCCGCATTCTTTGTTAACTGAAAAGCAAAGTTAAGCGTGTGACAGCGAAGTATAATATTATTTTATTGTACAGATATTTATTGTTAACATTCACAAATCCGATTCGTTATTGTAATGGTAAAAAAATTACAGTTATAGCGAATTAAAATTTTAAGTATCAGTTACTTAGCGTTATTGATTCTCTGACAAATTTTAGTTTATTAGCTGAAATTCGTCGTAGCAGACTGTTACACAGTTTTCAGTTCCAAGTTTCATGATTCATATTTCAAGATCATGCGCTTAACTTGACAACTTTGTTTACGCTTCGTGCCAACACTGCCAAGGAATGCAATTGCTGCTCCGAATGAATTTGATCACTCAAAGAACAATGTTCATTCTCAGAACCCTAAGGTGATCCTTGTCAAGATAATCGGGGTGAATTTCGAATATTAACCTGCAAAAATAAAACTAATTGTAATATACATTTAAGCTTCTTTCTATCCTCTTAAAAAAAAAGAAAAAAGGATAATCGAAATTCACTCGTCTATGTTTAATTATTGTCATATCAACGTTATGGAAACATTTTATTAAAAATTATTGTTATACTGGTTCCGATCACGCGTATTCCAGTCTGTTGACGGTTTTCTTCCGTTTTAGATTTCTTTTTCTGTGTCGATTACGGTACAATTAAATCGAGATTTTAATTGACCGTCTAGCGAGGGAAATAAATAATTTACTGCGACGATTAGTACTTAAGAGTTCTCCTGCTTCGACTTTCTTTTTCGCGAAGGTCTGTCACTGCCTTTACAGACTTTCTTTCTTTATTTTTTTACATTTAGTCGACTGTGTTCAAGCTCTATCGCTCCATCGATCACGAGATCAATTTTCAAAAATAACCCTCTGTTATAATATAATAATCACAGAACGTGAAGTTTATATAAGCGTTTTGACGAAAGAGTTAGTCCACCGTAAAGGAAGATAAGTATGGAGCGACAAGGATCGAACGAAACGTAAAAAAGTAAACAATTACGAAAATGATTTAGCGAATGAGTGCACATGCGAGAGTAAGAAGAAGCGATAAACTGAGATGTTTTTTAAGTAACTGTGATTTTTTCAAATGTTTTATATTATATACATATATATACATGTGACATAAATATGACGAATTAATTTCTAACGCATAATATAAACGAGAAAAATTTGTTGTTTCGATGTCGCTGTGTTTATACGAACATCGTAGAATGATTCGTTCGACTAACATATCGAGTAGAAGCGTACCGAACCAATTGATTCATCGTAACTCGATCCGTGATTAATCAGGATCATTATTATTATTGCGATTAGGTATGTGCGAGTGATGCGTTGCCTAAAAAAAAGTAAAAAAAAAGACAAAAAACAAAAAAAAAATCTTTACGAATGAAGTTCCATTGTCGATTGCTTGCATTGTAAAAAAAGAGCCTCGTGTCATCGTTGTCGCGTATCCTTCATTGTGTAATTGGCGACACGTGCACACGATCACACGTACACGTAATACGTATGCAACATACACATACACTTCTACACGTAGCTTATGTGTTCATATATATACTTTTCGTCGAAAGGATCGCCGTTCGCTGTGTCGCAATTTGTCAATTACTTTCGTTCTGCTTAACATCGGTTCACCTTTCGTCGAGCTAACGAATTGCTAGAATTGCCGAAATTTGCGAGGTGCACAATTTTTGAGCTTTGCATAATTATGAAGTATTTACAAATTTTTATAATTATGGATTCTTTGACAATTTAGACTTTTTCGAATGACGAATCCTTCATAATTATGTGAAATTTGAGCTAATTTCTCAGAGGTGTACACTTTCATTGGTAAAAGAAACGTCATACAACCCTTCTAATTTTTATGAATTCATAGAATAGTCAATGTTTAAAATATTTTTTAACGAAAGTAATTTGATGAAAATTAGCAGTAACCTTTATAAAAAATTGTACTTTAATTTATAAAGTCGTGTAAATCTTTTCATGAAAGTTAGGAGGAGAGGTTTGACGCTGTTAATCGAATTTAGTACTTAATCGACAATAGAGAATGATAATATTGTTCGATCTTTGGGGTGTGAACGTACTCTCTATTTTCAATAAAATAAATTGTGAAGAGAAACAGTGACGCTAACGATTCGTAGTGAACTGAAGCATCCGATATCTGTAATATTTTGAACAAGTTGACTGCCATAAGGGTCACCAGTAGGGTTGTAAAACGAATAGTTGAACTATTCGATAATTTCCAACATTCGAAATGTTCGAATTTCGAATTGCACCGAATACTCCCACGTTTCGAATATTGGAATGACTTTCGATAAGATCTGTTTATTTGCTCGTTTGCAACTTTAGTTAGTCCGATTTGAACAAGTAGCATCGTAACACGAGGGGAGTCTGATACATAGAGTATGTATCTTTTTTATCTTGACGATAAAATGGTTGATGTCGAGTGTTTTTGTAACTTCTCGAAGGCATCGACGTTTCCCAAATTAATTGGGAGCCATGAATATTTTCGCAAACACAGTATTTTAGTCTGTACAAGTGCAAATTCCATAGGACAACCTTTCGGTAGGGTTTGTAAAAAAAAATGAAACAAGTCGAATAAAGATATATAGATATATATATTTTTTTTATCAAACAATACACACACACACATACACGTAAACACGAATAATGTGTAATAGTTTAGTGAATGATACGGCTTTTTGTAACAGTTCGAAAACGACATCGCTGCGGTAGCATCCTCTCTTTTTTTGTATCTCTGTTCTGTCGTTGTGAGGGTGTGTTGCAATAAACTTGAATTTTTACGTATCTGGATCAATTCACGAAGGAATTCAAAGGACAATCGAAACGTATAGACTCCTTGGTCCTCTAGACTTTCCCATGAAGCTAAATTTTCATCTCTTCCTCGCACTTCCTCTTTCGAATTCCTCTCTTACGAATCAAGTGTAGATAATTTTATGTTGGTTTTTAAAGGAGAATCTCGACAAATGTGCATCCGAACTCGTTACTATCATCAGACGCTAAGTAAAATAACGCTCGATCCGCGTTATCGCTGAATCTCCGTTAATGCTTCACCACTAACCCTCGTCGATTATGGAACAAGGGGAGAAAAAAGGGGAACAGCTTTTTTCATTATCTAGATGATCTCATTTTCTGCCTGTAGTCTCGATATAGCGAGGTCGTAAATAAAATCCTAGATACACACTGAAATTTTCTAGGATACTGCATTACATTTCGAATTATAATAATTCAACATTGTAATAATAATTGGAACATTTGGATTCGTCGAGTTAATAAAAAATTTTCAAATTTCATAAATTGATTGACAAATTTTTAAATTTCTTTTGGATTTTAGTGACTTTAATTTTGATAACATTTAACAACGCAAAATCGTTGTTAGAACATATCAATGCTAGAACGTGTACAATTTAAAGCTTCTGCCACGATTAATTCTTATCATTGCACGGTCGAGGAACACCAAGTTTACTCGTTTCGCAATCAGTAGCATCGTGAACTCGCTGAAAGCGATTCCGACAATTGAATAATTGAATCGCGGTCGGTACAATAACATGCTGAACGATTAAGTCGTGAAAAACGTTTCGTAAAAAAGGGTTTTAGTGAACAGGAAACATCGTTTTAACACGTTGAATGCTGCAGTGATGAAAATTATGTACGATTTCATATTCTAAAATTGTTCGGAGTGCTTAATTTTGTGGAATTGAAAAATTGGGTGAAGAAACACTGTGACTAACAATTTAAATACTCGAGGTTAGCTTTTTATACTTTGCACACCATAGTCAAAATTAAAAAAGATTTGTGACAGGGTGACCCTCGTGACATTCAACGTGTTAAACTCTGGTGGAAATTTTGAAGAGTTACCGCGGATTAAACCGGAAGATTGATCGACGGCCGAAGATATTTTTAGAGTTATCAGTGTCATTTATCAGCGTTCGATTACGAGTGTTCCGAAGAAGCGTTAATTGTTTCAATCGCTTTATCTCCGAACTATCTTTTCTATCACAACGAATTTGTCAAGTTTATGAATTCACCGATTTGTACGTTCAGAAATCAATTTTCTTCGTCGGATCTTTCGGAAAAATTCTTTTCAACATTTACAAACTCACAACATAATTAGCATGCTTCCCCTTAATTTTTACGATATATCTTCCTCATGATTCAACAGATTCAAAGAAGAAAATTGAATTTTCTCCAATCGTTGAAATCTTCAAACCTTGTTTCGCAAAGTAACGAAATTATCTTGCTCAGACTTTATGTTGAAATAAAATTGCATCGAGGCTAATCGATAAGGAATATTGTATATTAATAAACAATTCTTGTAACGATTTCGTAAATCATTCAGGCTTTCATTTATGGTGCGTGTTTGCATTAGGAATCTTGTACGTTTACAAGTGTGTATTAAAAGATGAACGTTTCATAATTATCTACAGCTGTTTACCGAGTAAACACAATCATTGGGTATTTTCCAACGAGGTTTTGCAAACGATAGAACTTATAGACCTAGCACAGAGATGTGACCAATAAAACTAACTCTTTTGCCTGAAAATCTTTTTAATAATTCAACATGATTAAATTTTGCATAATTTAACCGCGCTCATGAAATGATTCACCCATTAGTATAAAAAAGCAATTTTAACAGCACTTAAATTTTGAGTATACTCTTCACAAATTCTATCCCGTAGCAATCACAGCGAAGCAATCTACACGCGATGAATCATACAGATTGAAATCAGAAAGAATCAGAATTATTGCGTCCAGTGCACGTGTACACTCGATATTGATACCACCTAGGGAAATCATCGTGGACAAACATCTTTATGAAGCTTCTAAAATTCGTGGACACAGTGACATTTAGGTCCACGGACAAACTAATCTCCGACAAACCTATCAACCCCGAAGACAACCCATCCTTCGCCTAATTAACCCCGCTTCGCTGGCGCGATTAACGAGGTAGCAAACGAAGTAGGCAGCCTGGACATCTACAGGGTGAGTTCTGAAAGACATTAATTAGAGAGAATAAATTTTCTCAGAGACCATAACATGACAATAACAATTTCTAGGTGCGGATCGTTGATAAAGAAAGAATTAACAGATACGGCAATTTTCAATAAGGCTTGTAAGTGTAATTCGCTTTTAAAAATTATCTAAATTTTTGGACACGAGCTTGTCGTACACTTGACCCGAATACATAAGTTTGTTTTCATAATTATGTCTTTTACGGACAATATTTTAAGTGGACGACGCAGATCAAAATTACACAAAATTTAGAGACAGAAAGCAAAAATCGATGAAGAACTTTTTGTAAAATTTTGTCTGGTTTCCCTAGAGACGGCGAGGATTAGCGATTCACCCCGTATATTTGCACGGGGTGAAAAGGAGTACCCGAGGAGTCTGTAGAGCAAGAACCGAAGAGGGTGGAATCGTCGTAGTGCGCGTGTCCAAAGGCGATGGTCGCAGGCAACCGCCGCAAAGTCTCAACCCTGTTCCGGGGTCGGATGCAGCCCTGAGTCGGTGCTAGTCGCGCCCGCGCCCGCGCCGTGAACACCGTCGTCCATCGGTCCTCTGCCAGCGTAGCTGACACCCGGGAAAATGAAGCAGGTGCGTCCACCTCGAAGAAGTAAGTAAAACGAGCAGAAAGGGACGAGTGACGCGCAGAAACGGTGTCGTGCGGTGTCGTCCCGATTTACGAGCCGTGTCCGTGCCTTGTGGGTGGAGGAGGACGATCGATCGCCGGTTCAGCCACGAGATGTTACCCGCTGGAAAAACACCGGCTAACGCCAATTCTGGGAGCAGCTTCCCCTAGATCGCGTGTCGTTCTAGAAGGAGGGGTCGGAGGATGACTGGCAAAGCTCTCTGACACGGGATGCTCTAATCAACCCGCCGATCTAACTTATCTTCTGTGTAGGCTTGTGGAAATTGAAGACATTGTATAGTACCGATGTATGCCTGGCCAATGTATGTATGCCTCGATGTAGATGTTACGGTAATGTTAGGGTAGATAGTTTCGGACGATGTAGACATTAATGTTAGGGTAGATAGCAGTTGATATTGGAAGATTCGAATTGTTATCGCAGTTGCTTCTCGTGTGAAATTTCTGTGAATCAATGTAGTCAAGTGTCTATAAACTCTGAAACTTGCGTTCCCTAATGTTCAAATGTACAAATTTTCAAGTCTTCCTTAAATTCTAAGGCTAGTGTTAAATTGAAATGTATCTTTAATTGCGTCCAACTGGGACACGCGGTGATATTGAAAGATTAGAATTATTATCGCAGTTGCTTCTCATGTGAAATTTCTGTGAATCAATGTAGTCAAGTGTCTATAGACTCTGAAACTTGCGTTCGCTAATGCTTAAATGTATAAATTTTCAAGTCTTTCTTAAATTCTAAGGTTTTACTGTTAAATTGAAATGTATCTTTATTTGTGTCCAACTGGGACACGCGGTGATATTGAAAGATTCGAATTGTTATCGCAGTTGCTTCTCATGTAAAATTTCTGTGAACCATTGTAGTCAAGTGTCTATAGACTCTGAAACTTGCTAATTCACTAATGCTTAAATGTACAAATTTTCAAGTCTTCCTTAAATTCTAAGGTTTTACTGTTAAATTGAAATGTATCTTTATTTGTGTCCAACTGGGACACGCCGTGATATTGAAAGATTAGAATTATTATCGCAGTTGCTTTTCATGTAAAATCTCTGTGAACGACCGTTCTCCATGTAGTCAAGTGCCTATAGATTCTAAACCTTCCTAATTCGCTAATGTTCAAATGTACAAATTTTCAAGTCTTCCTTAAATTCTATTCATTTAGTATTCAATTTAAATGTATCAAATTTAGTTGCGTTCAACTGGTACACGTGGAATTGAAGTGCATCATTGAAGTTAACCTGATATATTGAAGTCAATATAATATAAAATTGAATGATGTTAATAATAGAGTGTCGAAATAATCTTAATTAGTGAAATGTAATAGCGATCAGGTAGCTTAATCCTAAGATCCCTGAATGTTTGATAGCATGTTCATTTAGGTATTTCGAGATGAAAGAGTAGTCCGGAATGTGGGCCACGATCGAAAGGGAAAGAAACGAGCCTCTCAGGGGTTGCACTTGTTCCCGCGGTACTTTTCAAACACTTCTGTTCCGAGGTGCCCTCACCACTGTCCTCTCTGTTTTTTGCCGCTCGTTTCTTACCTCGTCACGCACACTCCTTCCTCTTTCTCCGTTGCTCTTCGACCACTTGCAGCTGCGCAAAATCGTGCGAGAAACAGCGAAGCACACCCTCCTGCAGCTGCAGTTGGCAATGCGAGCGCCGAGGATCGTGAACGTTGGTCTTCTTCCTGGACCCGGTGCTCGCTTTTCTTTCGAGTCTATCGAGGAGTCTACCGAAAAGAGTTTCGCGTATCTGACAATGGACATTCGTTCGTTTTTGAAAACTCTGGTACTTCAGAATATCGACGCCTTTCTCTTGATTTTAAATCATCGAATTTTCGTGGGATAGTTCTTAATGTTTTATTAGGATTTTTTAATCAAGTGAAGCTCGTGTTAAGAACGAATGTGTAGTTAAGTAAACGTGTATCAACGTATGGGACACCAGTGGGCGAAGTCTCATTTTTGACCCTTTCCTGGGACCATTATTTTGTCCAAGTAACATTTCACCAAAGTGAGTGCAAATTACACAAGGGATGAAAGCGTAATTTTTAAATTAATTCTCCTTCTTTTACAATGTAATCCGGCGAACTAAAAAATAAAAACTTGACAGGAACTTTTTGTAAGTAAAGATTGTTCGTTGAATAAATGAGGGTTGTCTTTGGGTTTCAGACGAATTATGATACACGTGTCGTCGGAGAACGCTCAACGATACGACCGGGTAAAGCGAAAAGGCGCAGCGTTTCTTTCCAACTTTTTTAAGACGAAAAAACTTACATTAGGGATGAAGATCAACGAGGACGAAGAGATGGAACGTGCTCCAAAAGTCGAGACTCCTGGTAAGTTGCAAATACCCTTTCTTTTTATCAAGAAACTTATAAAGTTTTATCTTCTCTTTGGTTCAACTTGCTATTACAAAAATCAAGATCTACAATTTCTATAATTTCGAAGAATTTTATCGAACATCGATTCATACATTCTTCTTTAAAATGTTTAATTCTTAATTTCACAGAAAATTGAACAGTACATAGTTTGATGTTAAACTTCCCTCAGAAGCGGCTTTAAAAAGCACTCTTTTAAAGTGGTAGCACGCGTGAGAAAAACTTTCTCGCAGAAAAAAGGAAAGGAAAAAGAGGGAATTTTTTTTTAGAAAAGTCTAGCAAGTAATCGTGGAAGTTCTTAACAAAGTGAACCGTACCGGTGTAAATAAAAGAGCGCACGATATTTATATTGTGGAGCAAAATAGAATAGCGGTGATTAATTTAAGCTTCGTGTATCTATATACGAAAGTATGATACAGCGGATGCGCGAAAGATTAATCTCCTTAAGATACGGTAACAAAATTTCATGTAACTTTAGAAGAAAACAAGGTTACAAATTTGGAGGGTGAAGTTCATCTGGTGGAGGTTATCGTCAGTTTCAAATTCAATGTGGTTTTCTTAGTATAACAATATTCTATCTTAATAAATAAGATATGATTTGGAGGGTGAAGTTCACCTGCTAGAGGTCAATGTTAGTTTCAAATTCAATGTGGTTTTCTTAGTATAATAATATTCTTTCTACCTTTATAAATAAGATATGACTTGGAGGGTGAAGTTCACCTGCTAGAGGTCAATGTTAGTTTCGAATGCAGTGTGGTTTTCTTGGTACGACAAGAATCTTGTTAAACAAGATATAATTTGGAGGGTAAAATCCACCTGGTTAACGTCAGCTTCAAATGCAATATAGTTTTCTTGGTACGACAAGAATCTTGTTAAACAAGATATAATTTGGAGGGTGAAGTTCACCCGGTTAGTTTGCAATGCAATTTTCTTGGTATTTTCAACTACCGATGCTATCTGTTTCAGCAATCATCACGAACGCTTGCAGGCGTAGCGGCAGCGAGAATGACACCCAGGTGTCGAGAATTCCGTCGACCTTGAGCGTGGCAGCCGTCGACGTAGTCGTCGCTTGTCAGCCATCACCGTCGCACTCTATTTTAACCTTGACACCTGGCAGAACGCGGAACATCGATCAGGACATGGAGGCACTTAGGCTCAGCCGACAGGATAACCCTTTCTTAGAGGTATCAATCGATAACACTTTTGTTGCCAAACTTGCGGCAACGTTTCTTTTGCGAAATTTATCCTGGGTCTTCTATCTGTAGGTTCTCCATATGTTCCAGATTCCCAAATACCTGGATCGTCACATAGACTTCAGAGACCATCGATAGACTTCCACATCTCTTCAAATACCTAGATCCCAAGTAGTTACAATCACCTGGACTCCATATATTTAGCTCCTCTGAGTTAGATTTCTGAATATTTACGCTCTTAAATATCTAGAGCTTCATATACGTAAATCAGATCTATGTTTTCACATAGATCTCCAGATCTGTGTATGTTCAGACACCTAGATCTCAAGTGCTTACTTTCTTCTAGACTCACAAATAATTAGCTTCTTTAATGTCTGAGTCTGAGTCAGATTGTAAATGTCTAAACCCTTAAATATCTAGAGCTTCAAATACCTAAAGCAGGTCCATATGTCTTCACATAGACCTCCAGGTCTCTGTATGTTTAGACACCTAGATCTCAAGTACTCACTCTCTTTTAGACCCACAAATAATTAGCTTCTCTAATGTTTGAAGTCTGAGTCAGATTGTAAATGTCTAAACCCTTAAATATCTAGAGCTCCAAATACCTAAATCAGGTCTGTATGCCTCCATATAGACCTCCAGATCTCTGTATGTTCAGACACCTAGATCTCAAGTGCTTACTTTCTTCTAGACTCACAAATAATTAGCTTCTTTAATGTCTGAGTCTGAGTCAGATTGTAAATGTCTAAACCCTTAAATATCTAGAGCTTCAAATACCTAAAGCAGGTCCATATGTCTTCACATAGACCTCCAGGTCTCTGTATGTTTAGACACCTAGATCTCAAGTACTCACTCTCTTTTAGACCCACAAATAATTAGCTTCTCTAATGTTTGAGTCTGAGTCAGATTTCTGAATATCTAAACCCTTAAATATCTAGAGCTCCAAGTACCTAAATCAGGTCTGTATGCCTCCACATACCTAGAGCAGTAAATTCATGTATCCCCAGATCCCACATTACCAGAACTCTACCCTGAATCCCCACATCCCCACATCTCCACATTTTCAGACCTCCACATCCCCAGATCTCCTCATCCCCTAATATAACTGTATCTTCATATCTATATATTTTGAGATCTGTATATCACAATGTCCCTACATTTCATCAGTGTATCTATACAACATTCTCTGATTGATATCGTGTTTTCCAGATTCTGGCAAGTCGGGAAAGCCTCGTGGAGTCCTTGGGAGAATCCGAGTCAGACGACGCCATTCTGATGTCTCAGGTGAATAGTGTTCACTTTTATTACTAAGATCGATCGAGCCCCGTTGCATTATTAATGCTAGCGTGAACTTGATAGTGAACAAAAAAGGATCACGCTCGCTAAGGACGACGTATTTCTATTTTCTTTGTCGATCTTTATCGAATGAATCACTTTCGTTTCGGTTTTTACCAAGGTTAAAAGGGTATAAGCGCAAGTAATATTTCTTGGTAAATGAAATGTCTTTAAGCGACTTACCGTGTTCTGGTCCATTAAGGCTGTCGGTAACAGGGGTTGCTTATTTTCTTTTCTAAACATTGTCTCATAAGCGTATAACAAATTTTTCTTTAACACCTTTTTGATATTTTAACAATTTATAAATGATATTTCTGTTTAAATGTTATATTAACCTTGCTTTTCTTTTCAAAGATAATATTCAAGTGTATAAAGTTCGCAAGCAAGTGTTTCAAGAAAGTCAATATTATATCACCCCCGTGGGAGATGAATGATTAGGTTTATTACCGTTGAAAACTCGTTTCTGTCTGAAAGTTGGTATTATTCTCGAAGGATAATGCAAGAGACAGATTTGCCGGATCCAGCTATTGATCATTCAGCTGATATCCGTTATAAAAGACACTACATTCATTCCATTAACCCTCGACCGGTAGGGTGCGGTCACAATGACCCTCGCTATTGTAGCCTCTAGGGTACATAGAACTTTATGTACTTTATCTGGAGTTTATTGTTGAACTTTGGGCGAGTTCCAAAACGTTCAATCACCGAAAACAATGGGGCGAGCGTTGTTTATCCAAGATTTTCTGACACTGACAACTTTCTTGATTTCGTAATAAAATCTTAGTCAAAGAAAATTTTACCGACTCGTCTCTCATTTTGACAAGTTCAGTATTTAATTATTTTCAATTGCAACTTCAATCTGAAAGAAACTTCGATCTCAAAGAAAATCTATCATTTAAACAAAGATTCGACTCTTATTTAAGTTCGGTATTTAATTATTTTTGCAAACGAACAAAATAATAATTATTTGCCAGAAAGTTACGTTAATGAAATAATTCATTTTCAGGAGTTGGGTGACACAGATCCTTTGACGTTGGCACAGGTGCACGAACACTTGGTTCGCAGTCCACCGCCCGCTTCGTGGCCCCACACGACAGCCTTCCACTTTCCCCATCACAATCAGAACATGTCCGACAAGAATGACGTCCTGGCACACTACAAAAGTCCGTCGAAGATACCGATGTACTCGAGCAACGATCAGGAGCTGTCCAGAAGCGAACCATCCACGGATATAAGAGGTGCGATGGTAAAATTTGAACACCGCCATCGTTATATTTACGGGACGTACGTGTGTACATACATGTAGCTCACAGTTTGCGTGTTTTGCCTGCATAAGTTACGCTAACACGAATTTGCTATCCATTTCTCCGATGCTTGAATAAATATTAGTTCCATATAATTGATCGTTTCGCCGCATTGATGACGTCAATGGAAGATTACAATTACTCGAGAAGTTTAATTATACACCTAATTGGCGGACGAAAGAAGCTCATTAGAGAAGTTGGAAGAAATTGGGGGTCTTATTAAAATTTAACGAGGGATCGATAGGCGGCAGTAAGGTCATCTCGAGATTCTTTTAAATCTAGGTAATAAATTTCTTTCTTATCTCATGGATCTGTTAGATCATCGATGATGTTAGAATGTGAAATAAAATAGCTCCTATTTTGCAATTTTACAGAGCAGTACCAGTTTGTATCATGAAGACAGTCATTTACAGTAGATTATAAGCTTAAAATTGATATATGACGAGTGTTTGTGTCACAGAATTGCATCAGGTTTCGAAATCTGTTTGATCACAAGCTAATACTTGAAACACCAATTCTTCGAAGCGTAATTACCGGTGCTTTCGTGCCACTTAATCTCTAATATTCCACTTACATACTAATAAGATTCCTACGAATTTCGCGCAGCATGCGATAAATATGGAAATCGACATAGACACGTTTGAAAATATTCTCACGAACCGGATTCGTGTACACCTACATATGCATATTCGAATAGACACTTGTTCCCGACCTTGATGCCTGCTTATAGACATATACGATCGATTTCACCTTATTTTTAACCCGCATAAATTAATCGTTGTACCCCTGTAGGTGTGTCTGTTATCCGTTCAAACTTTCGGTATTAATTTTCCGTGGAGGAAAACTGTTTACCAATTTTTGACCAAGAAATGTATCTCTAAATGTTTAAATACGTTTATTCCATCGAATCTAATTCTCCTTGTAATTTTTCAGATCGCCATTCGCACACGTTTTCTTTGCTGCATCCGACGCCGATTCGATCATTATCGGACGTTCGTCGGCTTCACAGATCGGCGGACGATAGCGTGCAGCTGATGTCGAGCGAATAAGATGCACGCGTGTCCGCGACCCGGACAAAATGGTTTCTCATCTTCAGAAGGAAGCGTGCTTCGACGCCTGTTCTCGGATTTGTCGAGGAGTGTTTGCCAAGGAGGCACTCGACAACGTCTCGAGGCAGGTTCACGTATAATCGAAGTGCGTCGAATCGAGTCCCTACACGTAGGGAAGAAAACATTGTTGCGCCTCTTCGAGGATCGAAGTTGATAAGCAACGCGAAATCGAGGTTTATCATTGTTGCGAAACGTGCTGTGTTGTTGTGCACCGTACACATTTTTTAGGTCATCTTTTATTCGCATCGGAGGCTTCGATATTTCAAACACCAATATCGATATTGTAGAAAGGGAAATTCAGAATTAAATCACGGACTTAAATGAATAAGTATCCACGCTGAATATATGAATATTTGCGGTATACGGGCTTCTGATAAACAGTCAATGCATTGTAGGTAATTCGTACGATCCCGTAACCTTTCTGACGGAGATCTTTGCCGAAGATCTACCCTTCCTGTTGTCGAAGTACACGAATATTTATTCGAACCGAAGTTAATGAAAATTTGGATTAAGGGATCAAGCATGAGTGAAACGAAATATGACACGAAAAGCTACACCCGCTCATTGATTTGCGTCTTGACTTTGTACAATAGATCTGCGGAAAATTTGAAGTATTGTCAATGTCCAAATTCCTTAATTAAAAACTTCGAAACCCGTTTATCCGCTGCGTAGAAACGGGAATCAGATTACACGGTAGTGCCGAAGTGTGCGAACGTCTCGGTAAAGGATGTAGACATTAATCTACAAAGAAATTTGCAAGTTAATGAGCAAGTGTAGCCTGCAAATTTCTCGTGACACATAAACGACTTTATTTGCGAAATGACAATATGACGTTATTATCAACCGAGCCTAGCATACAATTATTGATTACTACCCAACACATGAACAGACAAGGCCTACGTTCGACTATGGACAGTTATCTTTATTGTCAGTCAAATGGAGAACTTACAGCACTGTATTTTAACCACAACGCCGAATAATTAAGGAAATATGCGCGCGTGTTTCGAGTCAATTCACGTATACAAATACGCGTATTTACTTCTAATGAGTTTCGCTCACGAAAGTACGAGGGACAGTCGTAAAGTTCTTTACGTCCTATAATTATTGTAATCGCGATACTAGTCACGAGTATTTCATTGTTGTTATTGATTTGGTGTCCACTCTTTTATTAATCGTACCAGGAACATTGCGACTAATTAGTTCTTAAAAGATAACGACTAACAATAAGTTATGTAACTCGATTTGAAGCTGTAAACACTATCAATTTCATTTACATCTCAATTTGCATCGTAAGACCTTTTAAAAATAGCAACAGGTGTTACTTTGTAATGCCTCGTAAATTCCAACAACTGCGTTTAATAAGTTGGTAAATATATAGTACTTAAAAGATGTTGTATAAAAAGTAAGCTTATGTTGCTAAGTATTCTGCACAAATTGCTTATGCAAACTTTCGATTACGACGGTTATTTTATTAATGTCATATATTTTTGAAGAAAAGCGCCGATGCGCCAAATGTACAGGCCTGAATAACAGTAAAAGTAATCGTAAGTTTAAATCATAGGTTTTTACGCAAAGATACGTTTGTCAATTGAAAGCGTAACATTGTGTTTTTTAAGATTGTAACATTATTTCGAACGAGCACAAATACTATTTGAGCGCACATAACGTATACGCATGAAAGATAAATTTCTTGTTCCATTGTCGAATTGTTTGAACAGAATTGGCCACACGTGATTGACGCAATTTTAGCAGGGTTTATACGAAACTTTAAAAACGATAGCATGTAAGAAGGAGAATCTAGAAAATGACAATTATTATTATAAAGGTGTTTAGTCCGAACTTTCGGATTCTACGCACCCTTAATTATTACTATTACTATTATAGTGTCCACAGTACTGCCGCTAGCGTCGAGGGGCACCGAAATTTTCTAAATTCTCAAATTTCTAACTTACTAAATTCTTTCCAAAATCCCAAATTTTGGGAAACACCTGTTTCTGTATTGTCACCTGATACATTTCCATCCGTAGAAATAGAGAGTTGTCGGTGCCTATCACTGATCTAACGCAGCGTGAACTCTAGCGGTGGCCCTGAGTGCCCAATTGACTTGGCCATTGAGAATTGAGATTATTTCTATCATATGTAATACTATTAGACACACTGTACACGTACGTTAGAAGTTCGAAACGAGTTAAAATCTTCGATCGAAAGCCAAACGAACAAAAACATGAAAAACGCAAAAAAACTAGTAGAGAGACTTATAATAATATAATCTAGTCGAATGTAATGTATATGCCGAGGACTGCGTTGTCACTTTTATGCGAATATTAAATACGTGTTCGCGTAATTATTCGAATGTTGGATAATCGATAACGATGACGTTATCATATGAATATTATTGATAAGGAAGCTGATGTTACTTTTATTAAAGAGCGATATTGAATGTTACAGTAAACTCTCGATTTTATGGATCTTAATTAAATTTAATAAACTGAAAGATAACGTTTTTCCTATCATTAGACTGACTGAATTTGTTTTCAGAACCTTGATCAGTCAATGTATTAATCCTTAAAGTTAAGGGTTTACTGTATTTATAGATTCAGTTTAGATATTTTGTATTCCAATGACATTTGGAAATTGCTTATGAATTCAAAAAATTGCACAAGTACATTTTCATTTAGGATTAATGTGAAATTATAAACGAATTCCGAGTTTAAAAAAATGAAAAGTACATAAACTGTTGACGATGATGTAATAATTTTATTTTAATAGATTTTAATGTCTATTAACTGTATTGTAAATTAATTATTGTAATTTTTTGACGTTGTTATGATTTGTTAATCTATTTATTAAATTTTATGCTGCGTAAATCGACAGATATGAATCTTTGTTCATTTACATTTTTATGAAAATAAAAGTTTGATTCTTTATATATCAGCTAAATATTTATTATTTAATGAATCGAATCTCCCATCCTTTCCTTTCCACGACAAGTTAATTCGTCGTAAGACTAATTAACAGTACATCTTGCTATATTTACTCAAATCTCTTTGCCGCTAAATATATTTACATATTTTTATTCGAAAAAATATATCGCATCTGTATTATGAAGTGATTCCATGTAGAGGTTGAATTTACCGGCAAAATGAAAATTTATGGACTAAAAAATTGGCGTCCATCTAGCGGTGAAAGTTGGAACTACAAAAATAGAAAATCTCGATTTTCTCGAAAACTAGGGACTTTTCCGAAATTCTGAGATATACAAATTGTTCCTTGTTGCTTACGGAATCGAACGAATATAATTATGGCCTGCTAGGACCATTATTAAAGAAAATAGAAAAATAGCCCATTTCATGGACTAAAAAATTGGCGTCCATCTAGCGGTGAAAGTTGGAACTACAAAAATAGAAAATTTCGATTTTCTCGAAAACTAGGGACTTTTCCGAAATTCCGAGATATACAAATTGTTCCTTGTTGCCTACGGAATCGAACGAGTATAATTATGGCCTGCTAGGACCATTAATAAAGAAAATTAAAAAAATGTCATTTTATGGAGAAAATTTGTGGCGCCATCTAGCGGCGAAACTGCGAACTAAACTGAATAAACGTATGTCCGAACACACAGTAAAGGGGTCAAATAAAAATTGATTTTCTGGGCTTAATAGGCAAAAAAACCAATAACTCGTTTAACAAAAATTGCTTTAAAATGTCTAAAGAAGCATACCATGTCGTCAATGTTGCGAAATATTACTTGTTATATTTTTCCTTAACGCGTGTTCGGACATACGTTTTTTCAGTTTAGTTCGCAATTTCGCCGCTAGATGGCG